ACTTAATTACTCGCAAAGGAACCCCTCTAATTTAGGATGTCCGCCCTAACTGTATCATTCTTTAATGAAAACAAAACAGGGAGAAACTAGAGCTACATAACTCAAACTAAAACAGCAGTACTTAGTCCATTAGCTTAAAAGGAAAATTGCACCAGGGCCTGCTATTACTGAGGCTGAATCTTCTTAAAAAGAGCCACCTCTCGTCGAGGCCCTTCTTCGATGATCACGAGGCTCTGTAACATACACAACTCATGCCTCAGCCCGTCCTCATGTCAGTTCTCACAACTCGTTCCATGCCTGGTAATATTTAATACAGAGCCCTTCTTGGATTTCATTATCAAGCCAGAAATCTAAAATCCCAAAAATGACCATCTTGGTGAAGGACAAATGCCTTCATTTGGGAAAAATGTTGACCGTGTCTAACACAGCATGTACAGATGCATTAAACCAGGAATTTCTAGCCTAGTAATTTCAGAAGTTACAACTTACGGAATCGTTGCAAAAGAGTAATAATGAACATGTAAATCAAGATATAAAGTCACCCCCATACTCCATATAATAAAATGCTACATTTTATCTAGTTTCTGTAAATGTAGTAGTCCTGTAGATGTGATGTGGGAAACATATCCCATAAGATGCAATAAGTACACACAGTAAGAACCAGGACTAAACACACAATTTTTGCAAATGCACAGTGGGTAACATTTCCGATGACAGAAGAGCAGTTAAACTAGTCATAGTCTTAATTATAGCAATATGAAAGATTATCAAAATAGCTGCAATACATTAATTACGTTTTCCTGTTAATGTCATGCATTTACAGAACTATACATACAGCCAGTTAGGTACTTCAGAACAAGGAAAGGTGACGCATTTTCACCAAAAAAAAAAAAAAAAAAGATATATCACAAGCATTAGAAAGGGACTCAGGGGTAGAAGCAGATCCTGGCGTTAAAAATATTTACTTTTCAAGTTGTCAGCATCTCTTTAATTTGCATCTTTCTGGATGAGTTTTGAGGTTTGGGGTTGGATGTTGTTCTGGTCTTGTTTTTTACTATTCCAAGACAGGTAGTACAATGCTGGATGGAATGAATCTCAGTTTAGTATTCTAAAGCCAAGTATCCAACCTGAGCTAAATCACAGCTTCCACAGTCTCCAGAGCGGCTCTCCAGAAAATGATTCATTCTGCTTTCCTTAAATGTCTATCTTAGGAGGAGACTAATAGCTCTCCAGAGGTGCCCAGATTCCTCCCCTAAACTACATGTCTAACGTTCAGAGAGCTAACATTCAGTGAGATGAATTCTACTCACTGCGTACCGCAATTACTAGACATCTTGTATCTGGAAAATTTGGCATGACAGCCCCAAGGAAAGAATCAGGCAGTAAATACAAGGGTCCTCTATTTTTTATTTTTTTTTTTTAATCTGAAATTTCTTTGTCTAAGTACATGGGGACTTTAAGGTCCAAACTCCTATGCAAAACTGTTCCTCCATATAAGTCCTGCTCACTAATGTACTTAATCATGTGCATCATATCTATCATAATCATATTTAGCCAGACAGCTCAGGATTATGAATACAAGTACACTATTGAATTGAAGCCTTCAACAGTTGGGAATATGGTTTAAATGCTAAAACTATTGTACTAATTTTTAAAACCAAAAGAATGACATATCTACCTAAATGCCACCCCACACCAATTTCATACAGATAGTACAGAAGCCCCCTTTTAGTTTAAGAACAGGAGCACTTCAGAACAAGCCTCTTTTTTTGGACATGTTAGCAATGTATTTTAACATCTGTGGCCAAAGCACATCTTTTACAATGCTTCAGAAAGACAGATAAGATCAAATGACAAGACAAGAAAAATAGAGTATCCTTAAAAGCAGAATTCAGATAACATGACTGAAGGATGGTCTAGTGTTGGAGATGACAACCCAATTCCAGAATAATTAAATTCCTCCAACTGAGGAATTGCCATCATTAATTTTTGGAATAAATGAAACTAGAATAAATTTCCCTCTATACGACTGCTTCACAAAGAGACAGTCCACAGTAGTTACCGGACTTTGCATTCACACTCTACCATACCCTGTAACACCTTTCACATGTAGACAAACCAAAAGGCACTTCGGCAAAGCAACCCAGGAAATCCAGCACACCTCCTGCCCAGGCTTTTCCTGCTGCACAGGCGGAGAGGAACTCAGTCTCCAGGTACAGTTAAACAACAGTTGAAAACACAACTGCCATGAGACACCTTCTGCTATTACATCCACTTCACAAAAGTAATTCCTACATGAAAAACTTTGAGATTTAGACATATAAGTATGTACACACATACAAAAAATGTCATATATACACATGAACTTGTGTGTGTATATATATAATTTATACATACATATGTATAAGTAGATACACACACATAAGTATAAAATAGCAGAACTAAAAGGACAGTGATCTATTCTTGCTGCTTTGTGACATATAAGCAAAGCATGTTGTTTTCTTTATCCTGGAAATATTAGAGACCTTAAGTCTGGTCTATCCTCTTCGCTGGAAGACTTCTTGGACATATAAAGCCATAGCTAAAAGAGCTTCTTACCTGCTGATTGAAGGTTAAAGTCTACAACTATAGATGGAAGTCTGACCCAATTTCTCAGCTATTTGAATTAATTGTGTTAGCAATAGTTAAGTTTTAAATAGTCCAAACAAAAAGACGACTTCAATTTATCTTTCAAGTGACAATACAGAATTCCTGACAAAAACAATTTCAAACAGAAAGCACAACAGAAGAAAAACAATCCTTTAGTATGGACAAAATGTCAATTTAAACCTCCTTTATACTACCTAAAAAGTGATAGAGAATGAATCTTTTACATATACATGATTACAAAAACACTTATTTGATTCACTGATGCTGTAGAAGTGAAACTGTATTATTTACCAAGTTTACCAGTTTGAAGGCACAATGGCTATCACTTCATCCACATCCCATTCTATTTACAGTGAAAAACAAACAAGAAGAATCTCAAAGAAAAAAGGAGATAAACACAGATGCACCCTGAGAAGTGAAATTTCACAACAAAAACATTTGTTCTGAAATACTGTTCTTTGTAAACTCCCATTATCTGAACCTGTGTTCTATAACTAGGTCAATAATGTTTAATACTCAATTGCAATGAAATATATTACTTGTACATAAAAAAAAGGAAAGTTAAAAGTTAAGCTCCCAGAAAAATTAATCAACCCAAACCTGACTGAAAGAAATGAGGTCTCACACAGAATCACACCACAGCTGACATCCGTCAGCATGGAAAAAATAAATCTGAATCTAAAAATCTCTGACAACGTCCATTATGGAATGGCATAATCTAGTTGGAAACCCCATAGTGCCATCTGCATGGAGGGGAAAAAAAAAATAATCAAAAAGCCAACTATGCATGCCCTTCTTTGGATCTGGAATTCCCGAAGGATAATTTAAAAATCTGAAGAAAAAGGTCTTTTTATAAAATCAGATAAATGTTCTGTAGCGGTTTCATGACATGGTTTATAAAGTATTGGCACCAGCACAAAGAGTTCAAAGCGTTCATTCAGGAGTCACGGAGATCATCAAACCTTTAATGATTCATAGCAGTCCTCTAGTAGCGGTTGGTTATTTACTGCATAAACTGAAGTATTCGTTGCCAGTGATCTTCGGTGCAATAATGTACTTCTGCCAGACAAACTATTTTCCTTCTTATTCCAGTAGATAGTAAGTGCCATCAATACAATAACAGTGGAGCCAATATCAAACGATAGTGTGTATTTCATGGTCCATATTAATCAACAATGGCTAAAGAGGTAAAATTCTAAACTCAGACTGTACATAGCAACATCCTCTAGCAGTGGTATTTAAAAAAAAAGAAAAGAAAAGAAAAGAAGCAAAAAACTTCATCCAAGGAAGTGCAAAAGGAAGAAACCTCTAGAATTTGTCCATTGACACAGTTTTCCTTTTCCAGAGGCCAAACAGTGTTAAAGAGAAAGAGTGCAATAGTACTTTGAGCAATCACCTCTTGGAAAAACAATAAAAGAAATCCCAAAACCAAATCCAATACTAAGATTTGGTGATTATTAAATCACCAAATCATATTGCCCTTGTTTCAAACCCGCTATATTTTCATTGCTGTTTTACTTAACAAAGATGTTTGTTTTCACAGTTGACAGTGGATTTGATGCCAGTGTAAGGGACAGGTGGTAATGCATTACCCAAAGTTCTACTTTTTTATGGTATTTTGCATAATAATGAAGTGTATCACAAATCGAGTCTTGACCATGACAGAAATTTGAAAAGAAAATTGCTCTGGAATTTTCTATACATTACCAGTCACGACACTAAGTACCTGCCTCAAACTTTACATCCCATATCAAGAAGCTGCTGGCAATTTTCTTTTTCATTTCTGCTCTAAGTTGAGGTGGAAGGTTCTTGCATTTATCTGTTGTGTCGCTTAGGCTGGACTGTAAAACATCACTACCTCTATTTCAGGTGGAGGAAGGGATAAAAATGTATCAGATACAATTCATTGCCAAAAAAAAAAAAAAAAAAAAGACGACAACAAAGTGTCTTTTCAATCCATTCTTATACAAGCTTAAACAGATTTTTCAAACAACTAATTACAGGCCAGATCGTAACATCTTATGCTGCAGGCCAAACTAGAATGCTACAGTATCTGTGTATGTATATACAAATACCTCTGTATACATTTATATATACACACACAAACACATACACATAAAAAAAGGAAGCACCCGTCTTTTTCTTACTGCTAAATATTGAACTTCTGCTTTCACCTGGATATTAACACAGTTTATTGTGTGTCACACCCTATAAAAGGACATTTAAGAAGACATTTTTCATTTTCTTCTCATTAAAGCCACACATATGGCTGGTATTCAAAAACATGCAGTGCCACCAACTAACACAGAGTAAATAAACTCTTAGGTACAATATCAATTCTTTAAGAAATGCATAATATTTTTAAATGTATTTTACCCATTTGTGTAGCTAATGAATACTTTCCACTATTTCATAGGGGTTCTATATTCTTCTTAAAAAGAGTCAGCACAAATTCACAGGAAACAACTGTCAAACGAATTCCACAGCAGCATATGTAGTGAGTCACTGGGTGAAACTCTTTTTTATGAACACATTAGGGAAGTTGGCATTCAGTTCTAGGACAACTCTATTATCAATCTGTGAACAGAAGGACACATCAAGTAAAGAAAGATCTTTACAAGACTCCAGTAATTTTCTTAAAGATGCAGGGCTTACCATCCTCGTTCCTGTTCAAAAAGAAAAAAAAAAATTGTAAAGTTACTGAGAACAGGTTTTTTTTTTTAAGCTGCTAATACTGTGTAATGAAAAAAATGCTACTAAAAATGCAATTTTTGTTTAGATTATTTCCATTAGATTTCAACTGCGAAACTTCTCAGAGACAGCGCAGAGATTTTGCCTTTAAGCAGCCTATTGTATTTTCCTAACCCAACTGCTTAAGTAACTCCATCATTTTCTATTGGAAGCAACTTTACAGCTTCAAGGAGAATTTCTAACTACAGAAGCTGACCCAAAGTACCCACAGCCACAAGATGTCCCAGTGACCAGATGCTAGGCTTCGGCAACAAGCAACACAGTATACCACTCTCTTGTTCTCACGACTCTCCTGCTGACTGCAATGACCAGCACAGCACACGAGCTATTATGGGCTACCCCAATTCCAAATAAATCAGCAGCGCTTCTAGGGCTCTAGAGTAAATATAGGTACAACGCACATGCAGGGGCAGTTCTTCAAGAGACATACCTATATATAAGCTAACTGTAACTGAAAATGCAATATGGCCAGCAGGTCGAGGGAGGTGATTCTGCCCCTCTACTCCACTCTCATGGGACCCCACCTGGAGTACTGCATTCAGCTCTGGAGTCCCCAACATAAGAAAGACATGGACCTGCTGGAGCGTGTCCAGAGGAGAGCCACGAGGATGATCCGAGGGCTGGAGCACCTCTCCTATGAGGAGAGGCTGAGAGAATTGGGGCTGTTCAGCCTGGAGAAGAGAAGGCTCCGGGGAGATCTTATTGTGGCCTTCCAGTACCTAAAGGGGACCTACAGGAGAGCTGGGGAAGGACTTTTTACTAGGGCATGTAGTGACAGGATGAGGGGGAATGGCTTTAAACTGGAAGAGGGCAGGTTTAGATTAAACATTAGGAAGAAGTTTTTCACTTTAAGGGTGGTAAGGCACTGGAACAGGTTGCCCAGAGAGGTTGTTGAGGCCCCATCCCTGGAGGTGTTCAAGGCCAGGCTGGACGTGGCCTTGGGCAACGTGGTCTAGTGGGAGGTGTCCCTGCCCATGGCAGGGGGGGTGGAACTCGATGATCTTCAAGGGCCTTTCCAACCTAAACCATTCTATGATTCTATGATACCCCTGTCAAAAATGTGACCACAGTGGCTGAACTCTTGTCACCACAGGGTCAGAAAAATAGGTGTTTATACATCCACACACCTGATGGAAATCTAGTCAGTGCAGTCAACGGTGCTTAGTATATGACTCAGCTGACTGGGCACCGGGGTAGGATTCAGTTGCCTGAAGTGCTTAGTGCCCCTTGGGGTTCCTTACACTGTGTAGGACATCCACACAGAGCTGACAGACAGGACACTGGACCCACAGGAGGAGACCCATGCCTTACTGGAACAGCTGGAAGCCAGGCAGGTTACTCTGGGCAAGTGAACCCAGTCTGGATGTCTACAGTGCGCTAAATCGCCCATCAAGCTCTCCTGACTCTACAAGAGTTTACACATCCAATATGACTGCAGACACCTGGTGGTAGACACTTCAACTTACACAACTCCACCTTGAACTGAACTTCGCCCCAAAAAGCCATCTAGTCCAGGATCTTGTCTATGGACAGAGCCATTAATGCTCTTCACCCCACCCCCACCTCCCAAAAAAAACCAAACCCGAAACAACAAAAAAAAGGCAAGAGCAGATTTTTAAAGCAGCTTTTAAAAAAATATAAGTTCAGGGATTTCTGAAGCTACCTTTCATGAACGCCACTACTTTTCTGAAGTTTTTTATACTTATGGCCCCTTCACATGAGTTCTACAGTTTAACTATAGAATGTTAAAAAAATCAGCCTAAAACTCACTGTCTATTAATTTCAATAATTAAGGGGCAATGAAACACAATGAAGTAGTGAGAGATCATTCCCAGTTCACTATTTCCATGTCATTCATAATGTCTTTTGTTCCCTCAAGGCTGTGTGTTTTCCAGACTCTCTTGTATCCCAGATGACCCCTGTTGTCTCGTTTCTGTACTTAGTACTTATGAAATTGGATGACCAGAACTACACAGTGCACCGAGCACAAAGTCAGTAACTGCACAAAGAGGTCTTATGGCTTTTTCTCCCATTCTTTCTTAAGAAATCCTAACTTGTTTGCCTGTTCAACTGCTGCTGAGCAATGAGCTGGGGTTTTTTTTCAGAAAATTGTCCACAGGATCTCTTTCCTACAAAATAGTAATTAATATAAAGCTGCCTCTCATATGCTTAGTTAATGTTATTTTGCCTCGTGATTTACTTTGCACTTGATGGAACAATTTTCCTCCTGCATTATCATCTGTTTACTATCATAAGATCATTCTGCAATTTTACAGTGTTAAATTCTTCAGCTTAAGATTTTTCTACCCTGAATATCTGTGCATTACCCTCTGCTACAGCATTATTCACCCCTTTGTCCGGATTACTTACAAACAGATCAATACAGACCCTTGATGACCACAGTACTGACGTAACTTCATTGTGAAAAGAGATGATAGGTTCGTATTCTTTCTTGTCTTTCAAATGCTCATTACAATCCAGGAGAAGACAGCTAAGTTACAAAAACAGAACAACCTTGGCTAAAGCTTTTGAAAATCCAGTGCTCTATGGGCTGGATCAGTGCTCACCTTCAGCAAGAACTCCAATGAATTCTAAAAGCTTGGAGAGGCGTAACTATACTGTCCTCACAGGGATGCAGCTCTCCTTCAAAATATCGTAATGGCCTTCATGTCCACTGACTGGCTGACTTTCTTATGGTTGCAACTGGTTTATACAGAGCAAGAGACAATGGTACCATTCTGTAGCTTCTAACCTGCACCTTTTACAGAAGATTGTGCCATGTTTGTAACACTTCATTCCTCTAGTGCTGAGGCTGATTTAAGTGACAGATCACACACCAGAAATAAAACTTCCACAGCCTTGTATTTGAGCTCATTTAGAATTGCTGCATAAATACCATGTAGTCCTAACAATGTATTATTGTTCAATATATTGATTTGTTCAAAAGCTTTCAGTATTGGCATTCCAATTTAAGGCAGCTTTCCAGACTAATCTCCTGGAAAAAATGGCTCTGACATAGCAGTCTACTTGATCCCCCTTGCCATGAACACTAACGGACAGATAACATTTCTCCTGCAATGGCTTTCTCGCATGCCAGCGATCCTTTATATCTGGCTTATCTACCAAGCTCAGTAACTCTCTTGTAAACTTCTTCTAACACAACTGAAATACAGCTCTAGCATTTGCCTTTAAACAATAGTTCCTTAATATCTCATTCTGTCTTATTGTGATTCTGTTTCACTTTCTAGAGTTCATCTCCCTGTTTTCCTTCTCTGAAAAGGATTAATTTCCAGAAAGATGTCTGTGTTTTCAGTCATCTCCTTTACTCTTCTTTGTAAGCAAGGGGGTGTCTAAGTGTGGTCTTCACTTTTTCTACAGTAGACTCTTGAGTTAGTTGTTCTGAGATATCATTTAACATCACCCGGAAACAGTCTTTGCTATCATGCCCCCAAATTTTACCTTGTCCACATGGAGGTAATCAAAGCTTCTCATTATTATTATTGTGATTTTTAGCTCCCTTATCATTACATGATCACCATCACCACAACTGTCTAGTGGTTGAAGTAACACTCCCTATGGCCATACACAGAAATTCTGTAATAGGCTTCAGCTATTCACTTCGCTTGACCATAACTTTACCAGAGTACCACTGTCCTACCAGCACAATCTGCCCTACTATTCCAACTGAAACTCTAGGAACAACCCATTATGCTACTCATCTTTTTTCCACCAAGCCTTAAAATTGCTATTGCATCAGCACCTTCATTTAAAACCAGTCTCATTTACGCATCACAGCTTTTCCGCTTCAAGATCCAAATATGCGTTTCTACAAAATCTAGATGCCTCGCCACAGACATTTTGTGTAGGATGTTCTTCATTCCTTCCTACCTGAACTTCGACAGTTCTACCATTTCATCTAAGACTAAGATTTTTAATGGTTTTGTAAGTAAATAGGCCATCCTAAATTGCGTGCTTTACTGCACCTGTTTCTCTTTCAGGCTTAAGTTTTTATGTTAGGAAATATCTTTTCCTAAAAGCTAAAAAGACCAGCAGTCTAGCTGGGGTTTGGTTATCCACAGCACGGGATAAGCAAATATCATCCGCAGCCTTAATTTTATTTATATAATGTATAATTATTGACATATTATTTCTTAAAAAGCACATTTGAAAGCATTTCAGAAGTGTAATACAGAATATTTTCCTTTGCCTTTGAAAGACTGACAACGTATCCTGCTAGTTAGCTGTACAGTGCATTTTTCTAGAGTTTGGAAGCCTTTGGACCTTTGTTACCTACTACAACTTTTCCTACATGGACTAATCGGCTATTTCTCAGAATAAATACATAACCCATATATTAAAATCTGCTATTTAATTTTGTTGTTCAATTTATTCCCTGGAAAAATTCTCTGGTATCGCCTTTGTAAAAGCACTTCTGACTAACAATTTCTTTGCTAGAACAATTATGTTTATTAGCTGTAAATTACTTCATTTACATCTATCATATATCCAAGTCTTCAAATTCTAGAGCTGTTCAGGAGATCTAAGTGTGATAGCTATAAAAATTGCCAGAGCTCCAATTTCTAGGGCAAAGGATGCTACTACACACCAAATAATATTAAAGAGTAGAGACCCTGAAAATAACTATCACTATTCCCTCAAACTTTCTTACATTTCCTTTCCTCCCCTAGACCAGCCACATTAGCCTTTTATTCTTTACATTTTATTCAATCTATTGCACACAACTCAAATTCTAAATTTTAACGTGCTACACATTTTCATGTTTGAATTGACTAACTACGTGTTGATGCTCTCAAGCTAAAGCTGACAATTTTGACAGCTGGCAAGGGGGCAGTTAGGTTTTCTGTTGCTCAGGAAGGCGTGGGAGGTGTTGGTATGTAGATAGGAATATACGAATTTTGCGGTAACAAGGGTGTCTACTTTTCATCACTCTTTTTGTGCAGGACAGAGGCAGTCAGGACTTTTGGAGAACGAGGTTAAGATCATTTATTCCTCGTCCCCGACAGCAGCTGGTAGCCCCACAGCAACATAACTAAGCACCTGATACGGTGTACAAGAAAAGCTTTTGGCACTGCCAATTCAGGTCCTCATCATTGCTCAATGCTGATCAGAGTCTGAAGACTAGTTTTTAACTACAGGTCTATAGGTGTCCGCTTAACTTTTGACAGCACTGGCTGATATGCTCCATCACTACAAAACTGTCAGATGATCACAGCTGCACCAGTCTACTGCAGAGTGGAAACCCACCATGTCAGTCACTGGAAAAGATGTGGGCAGAGAAGGAAATGATCCTTGTAAGCAGGCAGCTCAGTATGTAATGAGTAAAAGAAAGCTCAGAAGTAAAACTTTAAGCAGCACACCCTCATGTACTCAGTGACACACTTACATCATGCTTCCTCTTCCAAATTGTATTATAATACAGCAGATATGGATCCAACTCATGATTTATTTTTTAAACAGAAATTCACCCTCTGAAGTATGTTTTACACACCACAAACACAGCCACCCATCAAACAATGCTTTACTTGGGCCAATAAGTTTATAGATCCCTTGAAAATTGGCAATTTTCATCTTCTACAGAGTTCCCTGATTCTGTAACAAGGGAATTGCCAAATGATAATGGAGAGACAACGTAAAGGACAGATGGGTAGCAAGCTGCAGGACCTACCACCTGAAAACAGCAGCCAGGGTACACACAACATTCATTTTGTAACACTTAAATGAATGACACACAGTTCAACAAGATTTCTTTCAGCAGCTCAGATTCCTCCAGTCCTGAAGCTATAGTGGTGATAAATAATTTATAACTGAAACAAAAAGTTTTCCCTAACAAGTCCATAAGTTCTAACAACTGCAGAGAGAAGTCAGTATAGCATTGTCAATGCTGGTGACTGCAGCGCAAGGTAAGACATTCTGATCCCTACTTCGGCAAGCGCCGCTATATAGCGAAAAACCTCAAGCTTTTACACAGCTTTGTTGAAGCAAAAGAAGTTCCCATACAGCATGCACTGCTAACCTAGCAGCAATGCTTCTACACTCTTCACAATGCATGTACAAGCCAGACATTTCTGTACTTGGGAGATGACAAAGGATACAATGAGAGTACCTCTCGTTCATTCACATCATAGAGAAGACCCACTGTTCAAGGTTACTTTTGCAAAGCTGAGCACTGACCTCAGGCCTCTAACAGCTTCAGACCTGTTGTCACACTTCTTCAAAAGCACAAAAACATATTAAGCGTTTATATAGCTGATAGTAACAGGACAGCCCTACATCAGCTGCCAAAAGTTAGAGCACATACAGAGATTTATGACTTTCTTGGTACTGCTGCGCTGTGAGAGACTAGCTCTTTAGTTCAGACAACAGTGACTTCTGCACTTACATGGGAACGCCTGGCAGCTTTACCTCCAGATGACCCGATGTGGTTTTACTTGACAAGTCTTTCATTTAACCACAGGCTCTAACGGTTCCCACATTCAGACAAAGAAATGAACACAGTTTCCTTGCTGTTGCCAGAAAAGCTGGGTAACTCCTTCACATATCTCGTACCACCTTGTACGGACTCTTTTACAGCAGAAGACAACCTTCTCCCTCCCCTACTAAGTATTCCTCTGAAAGGAGAAAGTGAGGTCTGGAAGGTAGGTAGTAAGAGTTTTGGTAACATCTTGCAGATAATTCAACTGGATATCCTCTGGAGAGCAGCTATCTGAACCAAACAGGCAGTCTCACTGGGAAAGGCTGCCTACAAATCCACTCGACTCAGGAATACTGGTAAGCACCCAGGGAACAAAACAAATTGCTTTTCCATGTTCACACATTATTTTTCCACAGAAACGTCAATAAGATGTTAAACTGAATTCAAACATGAATTCAACTGCTAAAGCAGAAGTGTGACAACAAACCTTCACTGCCGGCAGAGAGGCAAAAGAAGCAGCAGACTATCCATTGGCTTAACATGGCCAAACTATTCACTGGGCAGCCTCTGGTGTAGTGAAAAGGTCAGACCACTTTGTGGGCAGACATAACGCCATTGTAATACAAATGCATGAAAGTGGGTGGTCAGGAGAACATATGTGGTTATGAAAGACTTCATTCACTATGCCGTTTGGAAACTTTTCATGTCTGACTAGGGAAATGTGCCCTTGATAATCTAGCTACAAAACAGATTCCCTTAAAGATAAGCAAAACACATTACCTCCTGTGGACATGTACATCAAGTTTCTACAATTTGTACTAGGTGGAGTTAAGTTTTTATCTGTTCATCCTCCTTTCTCACGTTGGTCAGAAGGAAACTTTCTCAGTCAGAGATGAGTAAAACACATTTCATGACAGAAAAGTGTGTACTAGCTATACTGGAATGACAATCTGAAGCGACATGGATGTTGGGATGGAGTGCACCATCAGCAAGCTTGCCACAGACACCAAGCTCTGTGGACTGGCCAACACGGAGGGAAGGGGTGCCATCCAGAGGGACCTGGACAGGCTGGAGAGGTGGGCCCATGCAAAACTCATGAAGTTCAACAAGGCCAAGCGCGAGGTCCTGCACCTGGGCTGGGGCAATCCCATGCACAAATACAGGCTGGGCGGAGAATGGATTGAGAGCAGCCCTGAGGAGAGGGACTTGGGGGTATTGGTGGATGACAAGCTCGATGTGAGCCAGCAACGTGTGCTCACAGCTCAGAAAGCCAACCACACCCTGGGCTGCATCAAAAGAACCATGGCCAGCAAGTCGAGGGAGGTGATTCTGCCCCTCTACTCCACTCTCATGAGACCTGACCTGGAGTACTGCATCCAGCTCTAGGGCCCCCAACATAAGAAGGACATGGACTTGTTGGAGCAGGTCCAGAGGAGGACCATGAAGATGATCAGAGGGTTGGAGCACCTCTCCTAGGAAGAGAGGCTGAAAGACTTGGGCTTGTTCAGCCTGGAGAAGAGAAGACTCCAGGGAGACCTTATAGCAGCTTTCCAGTATCTGAAAGGCAGCCTACAGGAAGGCTGGGGAGGGACTTATAAGGGCACGTAGTGATAGGACAAAGGGTAATGGCTTCAAACTGGAAGAGGGGAGATTTAGATTAGGTATTAGGAAGAAATTTTTCACTATGAGGTCGGTGAGGCACTGGAACAGGTTGTCCTAGGAAGATGGGGATGCCCCATCCCTGGAAGAGTTCAAGGTCAGGTTGGATGGGGCTTTGAGCGACCTGGTGTAGTGGAAGGTGTCCCTGCCCATGGCAGGGGGGTTGGAACTAGATGATCTTTAAGGTCCCTTCCAACCTATACCATTCTATAATTCATATGGTAACTTTTTTGTAATGAGAAATGCTGATAGCCTTAAATTTGCTTGGAACATTATTCAAGTTGGGGGGGGTCTCAGTTCTTTCTAGAGCCTCTCTCAACCTAGATGTAGTATTTTCATTAAAATTATTAAATATTAAAAATGTGCAGTGCAGCTACTTTCTTCCCTTCAATTTATATCTCCCTTTTTCAACTTACCCTGTGAAAATAAGTCAGTAAAAGCACAAATAAATTTCTCCCATGTTGATGTCACAAACATCCCTGATGTCCTACATTATTTTAAAAAGAAAACCTCATATTCCACCATAAAAAGAATAAATTCAGTATCACGCAAAACTACATTTCTCAAACTCCTTACTCATCAGTCAAACATATATTTACTTTAGCTTTCTAAAACTATCTTAAACTACTGAAGCTGCAGAGGATTAGAAATTTAAGATTTCCTATGCTTTTTGCCCCTTATCTCTTCTTTCCCATCTTAATAAAAAGTCCAGTTAAGTTTTGCTGTTAATTACCTTTTCCTCTTTAATGAGACAAATTAGCTTCCTGGTAAAAGTGACAAAAAAAGTAGACATCTGTTTATTGATCACAGACTTGCACTATAAATATCCTTGTCACACTTCACAGAAATAAAACAATAAACAAAAGCAGAAAGAAGGAGAAGACTGAATCTTCTGATAGTCAAAAGAGAAAGATTTCAGCTAAAAAAAACTAACGGCCATGAAAGTGAAAGTTATTGGAAAAACCTTGCACTTAAATCTCAGTTTAAGTAATTCATACTAAGCAGTCAAATTACATGGTTGGTGTAAATCCACTAGATTCTGCATCAGAAACTCACTGCAGTAAGCAAAACTTCCCTCCATTGTTTTTTTATAAGCTAAACCATAATTTTAAGACATATTTATTTAAAAATATGTCTAGAAGACAGTTTTGTCTTAAGGACTTCTTTTTAACTGCAAGGCTTTTGAGACACAGTAAGAAATATACCAATAGTCCCTACATTTTCTTACCCAATATATCCAGCTGCCGTAAATGCGTACAGTTAGCAGCAAGCTCTTCAATGTCTGTGTCACACACAGACCTGTTGGCCGTAAGAAAGAGTTTTTGCAAGTTTGGGAGTTTACGTGCAAGGTTTGTGAAACAGCCTGTACTGCTCTGTAATGTAGGGCACCAGCCAAGATCAAGTTCTTCCAAAAGCTGGCAGCCTGAAGCCAGTTCTGCTATTCCACTTTCAGTTATGTTTTTACATCTCCACAAATCCAGACTGCGAAGCTTTTTGCATTTTGCTCCCATCATGCTTGCTATAAGATCATAGTCTTCAATCTGCAAGGAAAGCAAACACTGTCATGTATACCATCTTTCCAGAGATACATAGGTGTTTCAAGATTTGCTTGCTAACACACCTACAGATCTGTCTTAAGCATTCGTCATTTCTGAAGAGCTCTGAAAATTATTCATTGTAGAGCATAGTGAGGTCTACTTTTACAAAAGACAAAAAAAAAAAAAATTTCCTATCAACCCCGAGACATAGGTGTTTTTAAATTCACTTAATTCTAAAGATCAGTGAAAATGCAGTGAAAAGTTTGTTTTCTTTTTATTGCACAGTTGTTTTTCCTTCAAAAGATTAGAACTGTTTTTATGACCATAGGCACTGCCACCATATGCAGATTGAAGAATGTGCTTATTTTCATTCTAGGTTGATCAGTCACTGCATCTTCTTATGGAAGCCTTACCAGTTACCCTGGGCAATCCAAAGAGACTAAAACAGGTCCCACTATACAGGCAGAAGGAATGAAATCCACTATCAAAAACCATAAGAATACTATGACTCTTAGAAAAATGTGGTAACACTGCCTTCCTCTTCCGTCCAAGAGTCAAAGCAGGGAAGGCTGAGCAAATTCTGCTTCGTTGCTTGCTTCTTGAACTACAGGGGAGGTCAGCTAAGTCTTCCTGATGAGTTATGGGACATGCCTACCACCAGGGTCAGCAGAAAGCCAGAATCCCTCTACACACAGCTCTGGCACAGACATGTAATACAGCTCACGTGAGTGCCCTGCAGGAATTGCTGCTGTCCCCATACTCTCTTTCTCTAAATCAATGAGTGTGCCCAGCAAGTCTTGACTCAAATGGCTCTGCTTGAAAATATTTCTCTCATAGTTATTACTGTAGGGTCAGACACAAGCGTTAATCTGCTCGGAATGATGACTTGGTCTGAATAAAAATCGGTAAGTCTTGATTACTAGTTTTGGAAAGAAAAAAAATGATTATGCATATAAAGAACACCCCAAAACTTAAGAAGAGGCTGAAGAACTATAAGAAAGCCTACAAACTATGTTTTAGGCCTACTGAACTAGTATGTAACCCTTAAGTGTATGACCAAACTGCATTCATCTTGGACCTTTCAAGAGAGTATAGTATAATTTCAACCCTGCATTTGACATGTCTTTGTGAAACATAAACCTAGGTCTAGTTCCAAAGCAAGCATGTGCACCTGCACACACACACACACATACACACACATGCCCTGCGCGGTGGAAGTACTCACCATGACGCAGCTGCCCAGGCTGAGGTGCTGCAGCTCCGAGCAGAAGTTCAGAATACTGAGCAGGGCTGTTTGCTGCCCCGGGGGAACACATCAGACGGAAATATAGAAAGTGAAACAAAGAGAAGAGGTCAATTAGACATTAAAGGCTGTCACTGCATTTCCTGAAATACAGCTCAAAACTCTGTTAGAGACACCACAAATGCCACTTAATGAGTCCCTGGGTACGTTACACATTGATTGGGTTAAAGCAACGGTAATCGTTACAAACCTTTATGCAAGTCACTTTGGATGTGGTTTTGCATTGCCCTGAAGATACCTCCACACCCATGACCTATCGCTCGTTTCCCACAGGAAAGCTGCTGAAGAAGTGTGGCAAGTTCAAACAACAGGCAAGGCCAGCCCGAAAACACAGAGGGCTGGCGACATACCAGAAGAACAGCGGAGGCTCTGACATTCGCTGATCGGCTGCAGCCTGATGGAACTGCCAATAGAGCTGCGCAGCATCAGGACCGAGCTGGTGACTTTAATGTCAAAGGAGTCTCTGTGCTGACAAGGATGCTGACAACCATTGAGCACCTGTCACTACTTGCATGCAGATCGAAACAGATATAATGTGTATTTAACAGTCATGTTCCTGCCATTTAACATGGCCATTCTTCTCAGAAAGTAGTGCACGTTGCTCAGCCTGAAACTGGAGTGGGACATCAGACGCATCTTATGAAATGTAAAGTACGCGGCTGTTCTGTTCCACGACAAAGGAAACTTCAAGGGGTTTTGTGTTTCTAAGATACAGAAAATATTCTTCTGCACTGTTTGTAGCCATATTTTGTTTTGTAGTTGGAAATACATACAGTGCAAAGAAGAACATAGTCTGGAATTCACATCACAGATAGCTGTGCGTCATACCTCAAACACTCGCCACTTCATTAGGACTTTGTAATCTGTATGAGCTTGAAACCAGGAGTAAGTTTCACAACGTATTAACAACAGAAGTCTGTGGATGTCTACAGGATATACAACTGTTTCTAACGATAAAAACCCCAAGCAATATATAAGGGACAAAATAATCTACTGCTAACAAGTGGAATTCCTACAAGAACTCTAGACAACAATATTTGTACGCAGGGGTAGTATAATATGTATATTTAAATATAAATTTACTTGTTTTCAGAAAGTTTAAGGTACAATGCTTTATTTAGTATCCTCAGTTTTTTATATTCTAGTGCAACTTGGCATGAACATGATGTTTTGGCATACCACCGTGAAGAAATATCTGGTCCCTTGCACTGAAAGGCTGGCAGACACAGAACAGGGAGATAGCACGGGGTACTCGTGGAGACCAATTCAGACATCTAATTTAGGTGTCTCCAAGGAGCAATAAGAAACACCCAACACTTGATGTGTATGGAGCCTCAGCATCCAACTTGGCCTTCTAAGATTTGATTTCCCAAAGGCAGCCTAAAACTAGATGCTATACGTAAGCCTTCCTCACATATATCAGAGAATGATCAAACAATCATACAATGGTTTGGGTTGGAAGGGACCTTAAACGCCATCTAGTTCCAATGCCCCTGCTGTGGGCAGGGACACCTTCCACTACACCAAGTTACTCAAAGCCTCATCCAACCTGGCCTTGAACACTTCCAGGGACGGGGCCTCCACAACTTCTCTGAGCAACGTATTCCACTGTCTCACCAACCTGACAGTAAAGAATTTCTTCCTAATATCTCATCTAAATCTATCCTCTTTCAGTTTAAAACTGTTATCCCCTCGTCCTATCACTACGCTCCCTGATAAAGAGTCCCCCCTTAAGTACTGAAAGGCCGCAATAAAGTCTCTCCCTGAAGTCTTCTCTTCTCCAGGATGAACAACCCCAGCTCTCTCAGCCTGCCCTCATAGGAGAGGTGCTCCATCCTTCTGATGACCTTCGTGGCCCTCCTCTGGACCCGCTCCAATATGTCCATGTCTTTCCAGTGCTGAGGGCCCTAGAACTGGATGCAGTACTCCAGGTCAGGTCTCATGAGAGTGGAGTAGAGGGGCAGAATCACCTCCCTCGACCTGCCGGCCATGCTTCCTTTGATGCAGCCCAGGGTATGGTTGGCTTTCTGAGTTGCGAGCACACATTGCTGGCTCACGTCGAGCTTGTCATCCACCAACACCCCCAAGTCCCTCTCCTCAGGGCTGCTCTCAATCCATTCTCCGCCCAGCCTGTATTTGTGCATGGGATTGCCCTGAGTCACATGCAGGACCTTGCACTTGGCCTTGTTGAACTTCATGAGTTTTGCATGGGCTCACCTCTCCAGCCTGTCCAGATCCCTCTGGATGGCACCCCTTCCCTCCGTGTTGGCCAGTCCACAGAGCTTGGTGTCTTTGGCAAGCTTGCTGATGGTGCAATCAATCTGTCTTCTCTTATCCACCACCACTGTAACCCAGTTGTAGAAAGCCACCAGATTTGTCAGGCGTGATTTGCCTTTAGTGAAGCCATGTTGGCTGTCACCAATCACCTCCTTATTTTCCATGTGCCTTAGCGTAGTTTCCAGGAGGATCTGCTCCATGACCTTGGCAGGCACAAAGGTGAGACTGACCAGCCTATAATTTCCCGGGTCTTCCTTTTTTCCATTTTTAAAAATGGGGGTTATGTTTCTGGTTTTCCAGTTGGTGAGAACTTCACCGGACTGCCACAACTTCTCAAATATGGTGGACAGTGACTTGGCAACTTTATCCACCAGTTCCCTCAGGACCCATAGATGCATGTCGTCAGGTCCCATGGATTTGTGCACCTTCACGTTCCTTAGCTGATCTCAAACTGATCTTCTCCTACAGTGGGCTGTTCTTCATTCTCCCAGGCCCTGCCTTTGCCTTCTCCAACTCAGGTGGTGTGGCTACAGCCCTTGCCGGTGAAGACTGAGGTAAAAAAGTCATTGAGTACCTCAGCCTTCTCCATGTCCTGGGTGACCAGGTCTCCTGTTTCCTTCTGGAGAAGGCCTACGTTTTCCCTAGTCTTCCTTTTATCACTGACGTAGCTGTAGAAGCTTTTCTTGTTGTCCTTGGCATCCCTGGCCAGATGTAACTTTGTCTGGGTTTTAGCTTTCCTAACCTGATCTGTGGCTGCTTGGACAATTTCTCTGTATTCCTCCCAGGCTACCTGTCCTCGCTTCCACCCTCTGTAGGCTTCCTTTTTGTGTTTGAGCTTGTCCAGGAGCTCCTTGTTCATCCATGCAGGCCTCCTGGTGTTTTTGCCTGACTTCCTCTTTGTTGGGATACACCAGTCCTGAGCTTGGAGGAGGTGATCCTTGAATATTAACCAGCTTTCTTGGGGTCCTCTTCTCACCAGGGCATTATCCCATGGTACCCTGCAAAGCAGATCCCTGGAGAGGCCAAAATCTGCTCTCCTGACATCCAGGGTAGTAAGCTTGTTGCATGGCCTCCTTGCTGCTCTAAGGGTGACCTTCACAATTTCATGGGCACTGCAGCCAAGACTGCCCATAAGCTTCACATTCCCCACCCTCCTTGTTGGTGAGAACAAGGTCCAGCATAACACGTATCTTAGCAGAGGTCTTACAAAGCCACTGACCGCTTTCTTGCTTTACTTTCATTCATGTTTTTAAAGAAAAAGGTAGGTACGGAATTAAACACAAGAGCATTAAAAAAATCATTATTAGAGATGGAACACTTAAGAACACTTCTAAGCTAGTAAATGTGTAAATATCCAATACGTTTAAGTAACATACTTATTAAGCAAATGCTTCATTTGGATCATTAAACCTGAATAAATGAGCAACTCCAAGAGAACGAGACAGTCTTTACTATTTAACTCAGTGAAAGCTAAGAGCTTTAGAACCTACTCAGGTGCAGAAAGTAAAAGCAAAATCCCCAAACCCCTCTCTACAAACCTTAAATATTAGAGCTAAATAAATCAGTCTCTGACTGCACACACAGTTCTAAGCAGGGCTTCTGCTAGTATTCAGGTGATTCCACAGGAAAGTTAAATACCTTCAGTAATGGTTTCCAGACTGGAATTTAAATACTCTCCTGAAAGGATGGGAAGCATAACATCTTTCCTCAACAGTGCAAAAAAGTGAACAGTCACTCTGACCAGCTTGTAGGATGTGAGATCAATTCAATACTTCCTTTTCTTCAGAAAGAGGTGAAATAGGTAGGAAGACTAATATTCATAGTTATCTTAACTAGATAACTGAGCTACTTTTGTTAACTTTAACATGAATTTGACGCATCTCTCAATATCTTTTTAGTTCCTCTCTAGTTTGAGACAGTCCTTATTGTATTGATGTGCACTAAGTCCACGTTTTCAGAGGCCCTTCCACAACCTATAAAACCTTAAGTATTATTCTAAACAGTTATTTAAAAAATCCAAGCAATCTTAAAAATCACTAGGAACACGGGTAATAGAAGAGAGCTTCGTAGAACACCATGTCATACCATCACAAATCATGCAAGTCAAGCCCAAGAGTAAACAACTACTTACTCAACGTTACTTATAGCAGCTATATTAATTCCTCTCTGGTGTGCACTCATGCCCACACACAACAAATCAGATTTCTTTCAGAAGCAGTGTCTGTTCTTCTGTAGCTGAGGTGGGGTTTGCATATGTCAGGAAAGAAGAAAAAACCCTTTGTGCCTCAGTCAATTGAGAATCCAGGTGGCAAAGGACATGAAAATAGCAGGAGAGAATGGCAGCTCACAGAATCCATATGCACTACATATAGAAGGACTATCATTGTAATAACCTGTCTGTTTCAAGCCATCTGTCTGTACAATTCATCTCTCTGACTTGCAATACAAGATGAGAGCTAACACTCCTATTTAAGCAAAGGAGAAGAGCAAGGCAATCACCCGACCCTGAAGCTGTAACTCAGGCCAAACTCAGATGTTAGAGTGCTTTGCGAGACGAGCTAAGAGGCCACCTAAATTCTGGATCAGCAAGCTTTCACCTGGACAGAGTCTAATTTCACTTTCTCAGCCAAGCAGAGATAGTTAAATCTAAGACTACCCATGTAACACTATTCTCAAGGCTAGTAGCCAAGACATGTATAGTTTGGAGATTTTTTGAG